GGAAGGAAGGAAGGAAGGAAGGAAGGAAGGAAGGAAGGAAGGAAGGAAGGAAGGAAGGAATCTAGTTTTAATACATTGTTTATATGTGGGGAACCCTACAAGCTGAATTGATTATATATTTACATCCAAATAGTTCAATTTGGGGAGCCAGAGACTTTATCATAAAGTGCAACAGCCAGCGTTTTTTTTTCTTCATTTCTATAATGCAGTGAGTTTTACATAACAAGATGTTCATGCAGCATGACTTTTCTTCATGTTTACAGCAAACGAGGAGGAGGAAGGAGTATTAGCTATGTTCACTGCCTTGAGTTATTTATAACAATAATAAAGGCGGGATAAAAAAATCTAAAAAAAAAAACACTTCACAATGTTACAGTGAATTGAATGTTTCGGACCCTCCAGCCAATACCTACCAAACTCCTCTTCACTCCTGTCTCGGTGGAGATATATCCATAATTTGCGACCAATATCGTATTTTACACAGGGATCTTTCTCATAGTGCAATCGATCTAAAGCGCCACTCACCACAGTGTTAACCTGAGAAAAGGATTCACCATGAAATAAGGGGTGCAAAAGACTTTAATTTAGAAGCCACCTATGGAAGTACAGGAAGGAATGTGCGTGTGGCATGAGAAATGTGCCCCACAAGAAGGAACTGGGTACCTAAACCATTCGAAATTGAGAGGCAAGATGGATGAAAAACACACACAGAGCTCTTTGGATATTCAGATCTATAGAAAACATCCCTTGTTAAGGCCTACATCATTTATGAATGCTTCCGTTCTAAGATAACCCTAGTTGCAGTAGCATATCCTATCCCTACATGTTATCACTTCTAGTTTCTGATTCAATATTCAAAATTTATAAAAGCATATTTTACAACTTCATTAGTTAATCTGCAGTTCTATTTACATTCTGCTAAACTACACCCTTTAAAAAGGATCACAATGTGTTGCTACTTTGGGTTGGAACAAACATATATATTTATGGGAATTCTGAGACACCAGTAATGTGGTTTGAACATATCCAGCTTACCTGAGCACTGGTGACATCAGGAGCAAGAAACTGGGAGTCCTTCAGAAGCTCACAAATTTCAGCACGAGTTCCCTCTCCATTTGGAAGACGGGCTGCCGCATCCCGAACTGAGACAGCAAGAAAGATCAAGCACAATCAAGGTCCCTACTGAATCCAGTACTGAAGTAGTAATTCTTGAACTATTCATGCCCCATTTATTTGAAGGCTTCCCCACTTCAGCTTGGGGCTCAGCTTTTCTCCTTTCCCCTAAAGAAATTTTCCAGGCAGCTATCTAGTTATGCAGACAATCCAGATTCCAAGAATAACCCTGAATTCATCTATAATTGCTTCCTTTTCATCTTTGGTTATGATCTCAACTTCTATAGCTTCCTTCTCTACATGGTAAATATGCTTTTCCACTCCTTCAAATGCAAATATATGACCAGTTCTGTTTCCTGTAAAAACACTGAAATCTTCTTGCCTATTTTGGGGCCAAGAAGTGATTTCCTGCTTTCAAGCCTTCTAAGGTTATACTAAAGTGACACAAGAAGATGGGTCTCTTTATGTCCTCCTTTTGCTATCTGTTACTCAGGACCTGATGAATCCTGGTAGAGAAAATTATTCCTGGATTATACTTTCTACAATAGAGAGCAAGGCTTCAACTCTGGTATCTCCCGTTCCAAAAAGCTATCTTGGGAAAGGCCTTTGTCTCAGGGACTGAAGAGCTACTGCCAGGCACAGTAGATAATGCTAAGCTATATGTTCAAATAGTGTTTCTCTCTCCCCCGCCCCCGAAGCATTATTACGCATCTGGCTCTCCCCTGGAGCCTTATTTATTTATTTATATTTATTTACTGTATTTATACAGTAAATAAATATAAATTTACAGCCACCCATCTCACACAAAGTGACTCCTCTTAAAAAACCTTAAAGCTATGAGGCTACTTTGCATTGTCAAACTACATGTTCAACTCGCTATCTCCTCTCAGCATGTGGTTACTTGATAGCCAAGTTCTTTTATTTGCTGATTTCAAAAATTAAACCTGGAATCATAATGTATTAAGGACCATTTTATCCCACCATTCAATAGACAATTTTCAAGATGGCTTCACAGCATGGTTTGACACTAGAAACAAATTAAATTCTACCCTGCTGCCCATTTCCTCCCACTGCAAAATTGAATGGGCACATATGGAAACTCATTCTCTCTCTCTCTCTCTCTCTCTCTCTCTCTCTCTCACACACACACACACACACACACATTGCAGATGAAAACTTACCAAGAGACAATATGGTGACATACGCAGGTCTGTCTGACCGCAACAGAGAATGTTCCCGGGGTTTGTTTAGAGAGGTTTCCTTATCAAACACTCCTTTCACGGGGCCCACTACTGACTCGAAGCCATGCATGCAGAAGGTAAAAGCTTTGTGAGGTTGGCTGTACCGATAACGCTCCTGCAGACATAGAAGAATGAAGGACACCCAACTGAGAGATTCACAGAGGAGGACAGCAGAACAATATCGGTAAACATCTATGGTTAACTCCATTTTTGGCTTTAGTCAAGGCAATGCTCAGATGAAGACAGATCAAGAAGGACAACTGGTCATATTTAAATAATGCAAATGGAGCATATGCAGGTAGAAACCTCTCTCTGCCGTAAAAGCTACACTCAGCTGAATTTGGAGCACTTCCAGGTTTAATGTTGCTTGATAAATGTAATGAATAATGGATAAAGAGTGAAGGGAAAATTCAAGTACTGTATAAAAGAGAAGTACTTGACAGCATGACATTTTGATTCTGAACTCCTAGCATTATCTTATAATTGGCCGCCAAAAATTATACAATCTAACTATTTTATCTGAAGTGCTCATAAGAAAATATCCTATTTGTTTTCATTTGAAATTCCAGGACTTTGCTTACAGTGATCAGCAGGATTTAATCATGTGCTTTTAACATTTCCATAGGTAGTATGTGCAATGTAGTTGATGAACAACGAACACTCATAATGTTGATGCCATTAATGAGGGCAAAATTGAACTGAGACAGAGCAATGGTGCAGTGGTTCTTAAACTGGGGGTAATTATCCCCAAGAGGGTAATTTGGGCATATCCTGGGGGTAACAAAGCAATTTATAATTGCTTGTTTGTGAGTCAAGAACCAGTTTGGGATTGTTGCTACCAAGATGCTTGTGTAAAACAAGAGAGTCTGGGTTTTTTTGTGGAGTTAATGACATTATTTGAGACCGGGAAAAGGGGTATTGGGTCAAACAGTAAGAACCACTCCTGCGGCGGGTGCTGACTGAAAATTTTTTCAGATGTATCTGAGGCTGAATCCTTGCTATCTTTACCTGTTCCTGGAAAACTCGTTTCTCTTCTCCAGTGCTAGGCCGGACTACGTAGTCAGTCCTTCTGAAACAGACAACAGCGTGAGACTCAATGAACGTAATATGACTGCAGAGAAGCTCAAAACAAGCTTCTGCAATATTCTGAAAGGTAACAAATATGGGTGGAAAAATTATATTAAACTTTCACACATTTATTGGTTGGGTCTTCAAATTGCTGTCCGAGTTCCTCCCTAACAAAAAAAGAAAGAGAGAGAGAGAGAGGGAGAAAATATCTAGAAATCAAGGTTATCTCACAAGTTCTAATGCAGTGTGTTTGCAATATTTCTAGAGAAATATGTTAATCTTCCTCAGGATTACCTTAGCAATCTTTCAAACAGAAAGGCCATACAAAAGGGAAAAATGGGAAATTAAATATATAAACTAGCAAATGCATATGCACATTAAACAGCTAAGTGGACATCACGTATTTGCCTCTTCTTACTCCCTTTCAATCTTAACATTCGCTAAACATTCTGTTTATCTGCCCCCATGTTTTATTTCCATCATACACTGTCTTATCACATTCAGCAAATAACCTTCAAATCTATAGTATATTCACACAGGACATTCCATAATTCACTCCTACTCAGCTTATCATATGCTTTTTCAAAATCAATAAACATACAATAAACTTTCTTTCTCACATTGATATATTTCTCAACTAAGTGAAGAGCAAAAATCTGGTCTGCCACACACATGCATTAAGCTGCACTGTATTTCCCAAATTTTGCTCGGTATCACTTCTTTGTAACCTTTCAGTGAGGATTCTGCCAAATACCTTTCTATCCCCCTCTCATTTTTGCACTTATTTTTTCCTGTTGTTCCCTTTCTATATGGAACAGTATCAGCAAGTCCTAGGACAAAGCAGTTTCCAGAAACACACCATTTTGCTCTTGCTCAACTTAAGGCATTTCCAGTAATTTGAGACATTGTGATGATAGTGATAGGAAGAAGAAAAATGCAACCTTCTTTATGATCTTGGAACCCTAGTCAGAGAGCAGAAGGAAGATGTAATTCCTCCCTGTTCACCTAGGCATCAATGTAGAAGAGTTATGAGGTCAGTCCAAAGACTGGAACACCACAACAGCACCTGTTTCGCTGACTCAATTTTTCTGACTGTGCAAAGACAGTTCCATTCCAATTTGGAGCCACTGCCACATTTCCCAACCAAAAATGTTAAGAATATAGCACTGAACCAATCCAAAGACAAAACTCTTCAGTGGAGCACACAGGCAAGATCTCACAAGCAACACACAGGAGGAAAGAACTTCCTGCTAATCCCCACTTTACGAAAACTGGGGTTTTTCCCTTTTTGAGAGTCTATCTCACATTCTCACTGTTTGAATTCTGTTCCTGCCTTGTCAAACTGACAAAAATGGATGAAAAACCATAGTGTTGAAGTGCTTTCAGGATTTCTCCCAGGCTAAGATATAATTATCTTGGAAAGTCAAAACAGGTAAGTGGCCAGCACTGAGAAAGAGCCTAAACCATACAGTGAATTTCTATATCTGAAGAGGCCGTCCCTGTTTCAAAATACAGGGATTCACTGAAATGCATTTTAAAACCTGGAGCATGAACACAAAAACTCCAGCAGGTGACAGTTTTTATACAAACACATTTGGCTACATCTGCCTAATTAACTTTGTTTTAAAGATCTTAAGAGCGTCAAATCTTTACTTGAAAAAGCCTAGAATGGCTCTACCACTCTGCTATACCTTATATTCCAATGATCCAATCTGTTCCTTCCAAACTCCTAAAAGCTGAAATATGAACTTTAAAAAGATATTTAAAGATCTTAACCAACTCTATGTCCATTTATCTGCTATCAATGTTTATGGCATACTGGCTTTTTTGAAAAAAAAATGATTTTGATTTTTGAGTGTTTAGCTTTCCCTCACTGCAGTATTGTTAGGGCATGTAGACTTCACAAACTAAAGTGTGTTGCGGAGAGAATAACCATGTCATTGGCATTAAGAGCATTGCTGTTGGTCTCACGTGGCTTTAGGGAGTGAAATTGCATTTTAGTCAAAGCCAGTCATAAAGCTTTCAGATAAATGTTAAATAGTAAAGCAGCCGGAAGATGACCCTACTTTGCCCACTTCTGAATACAGATTTCAGTCAGCAGATGTAGCAGCCCAAATCATCTAACTTGTACTGAGATTTTTTCCATACAGCATTTTTTAATCAAGAGTAGCAGCTTCCAATCAATCAAGGGAGAGTAAATCGAGGGAGAATGGACCACATCAGCATATTCTCTGTAAACAGGATGACATTATACTTCTCTTGCATGTATCAAACCAAGAAGCTTTTTAATCAGAAGCAACTACCTTAAGCAGCAACTGAGGTTTTGAAAATGAAAGACATTCAGTATGCTACCATGACAACACAAGTTAACCAACATATGACTGAAAATCTGGCAAAATTCCTTCTATCTTTCATATGTTAGCCAACATTTTACAGTAAGAAATAAATTAACATTGATGATGATGGGGAAACTCTATCTCTCTTTTCTTTTCTTTCTTTTTTTGCAGCTGTTCTGGCTGGCTCATTAACAGTAATGTAAATCAAAAAAGTTAGTGCCAGTCAGAGAAAATAACTTGAAATATATGCAAGCCAATTTTAGGAAATTTAGAAACCAATTTTGGGCATTATGAACACAACAGTGCCTATCATACTTTTAAGCATCTCTGATAACAGAGAAACATTTATTTGGATACGTGATAATTAATGAATACAAAGTATATAATTCTAAATTATTCTTAAATAAATTACTGGACATTTATATTCTATGTGTGGTGGGTTTGTGAATTAATATAGCTTTAGAAAATCATTAATCAACAAACAGAAAAGACAACTACTAATAATATATTTCTAGCTCCTTTGATTTTTTAAAAATTATATTTACCTTTAAGAATTACTAATTAGTAACAGAAGCGTGAACATTCTTGGACTGTATTTAGTGCTGACTGTTAAGATGGTATTTTAAAGTTTAGGTAAAGTTTGATTTTTGAAAAGATTTCTGAAATCCATAAATACTCACACTCGGGGAATTGGTGTAGTAGCATCTGAACTGTCTTCATTGTCCTGACAAAGAGAAAGAAAGACTATGAAACATGATGGTTAAGCCAGCTGGACTTGCCCCAGGTTGAAATAAATATCGCACCTTGAAGAAAGCTTGGTCTTTTGTCTCCAACCAAAGCTGGAAGAGGGCTGCTAGCTCCTTCTCGTGGTCTTGGGAAGAGCCTGGAGAAGAGAAAGAGCCACACAGATTACCATTGACCACTAAGGCCTACACTATTAACAGCAGCACTGTAGGTGCTGCGGTACCCCACCCTCCATCACTTAATTCCTCTGGTATAAAGAATGAAAAAGTGTGGAAACTGTAAAATTAGTATTTATTTCCATCTCAACAGAAGTTAGGAAGGATGACCAAGTAAATGATACAAAATGCATGCTGGGTACTGGGGATAAACAAAAAGAGAAAGGAAGAATTCAAACAATGGTAATTTTTGTGTGGGGGGAAGCTAATGAGATGGGAAAAATCAAAAGAATAACCAAAGAGTCTCAGAGAGGATACTGGTGCAAAAAACCAACTCAAAAGTTGGTGCAGAGAAAAGAGGTTCTGCTCTGTGCAAAAAAACAAAACAAAAACAAAACAGAACACCCCCAACGAATAAAGCAGGACTGAACTGGAGAAGAAGCTTCCTAGACTAAGTTTGCCGATACAAGATGCCAATCCTGTGACAGCTATCTCAGGAATATATACGTATGTGCACAAGAAGCACATCTTTTTATCTAAACACATTAGAGCATGAACATACAGCTGTAAGGATAATGGAACAGCCTTCCAAGGAAGAAAGCTTCTGTTAGCTGTACATTTTCTAACTGGAATCTAAATGGCTCATTAGTCTAGATGACAAGATTTAATAAGAAGGATGGAGAAGGCAGCTTTGCTACTTTACCTATCAATTTCCACTGCTGAGTTTTTTCCTTGAATTCAACAAAAGGAGAAAAACTGGAAGAAGCATCTGTAACAAAAACATTTTTACTATGACATGACTGTAATAGATTTTTCTATAATTCAGACTGTAGCACTGGATTAAAGTTCAACCTACGGAAAATGCAAGGTTCGATCAATGCTTGTTAGCATTCTTCTATAAACTGTCCTGCGTGCCCTAGCGAAAGTCTTTGTAACTGAATCTATGGATTTCTATCCTAGTATGAACTGTAGCTAGATGCCTGACTGTACTTAGGAAGTCTGTATTTTCCATTACAAAGCAATCCACAAGAAAAATGTCTATTTAAAGTCTGGCATGGAAATGAAAAACTATGGATTTTAGTACAACACAAAATTGGAAACGTATAGCACAACTCTTACATGCATAAGAAATTTTTTATTTGCGAAAAATTTCCTTTAGATCCAAGCAACAGTATCTAAGGCCACACAGATCTGACAACATGAAACACCCAGATAAAAAAATACTGTCAATTATTTTTTATCATGTGGATTAAAGTTTTGAAGAAAGTTCTTCAGGTTGTTTTAACTGAATGAATCTGAAAGAGAGAACAGTACGACATCCACAAGGTCTGTATTCTGAAAACAGCTATCCTTTGACATTAAGTGGCTGGTATCAAAAAATCAGGACAGATTAAATATGAGCAGCTTCTGACCCAACTGGATAAGCAACACTTGTTTGTAAGCCACCATAAAAGCCAATTTACTTAAATTCTTGTTGAATGTCAAGAAGGCAACCTTTCTACATGCTGGCAACTGCACCCCTTTTAGCTTTAATGGAATCATTTATTTTGGATGGTATCCAGAAAAAAAAAAAGTGACTCACCTCTGCTGACTCCAGTGAGATACTGCAAAGCAGGTAAAACCAGTTCTGACCAGTTGGGAGCAAAGGAGAACCAGCTGTTTAATGTGCTGGCAGGAGAAGACTGCCAGTCCATGACTTTATCTTCAAGCTGAACAAAACAAGATGAACAGCTGGGATTTATATGGCTTGCAAAAGCTGTCAATGGCCTGCCATTCGATGTGAAGCTGGGGGTCATACATGGCTAACTGAACTGCCAAGCTATGACTGCCTCTCAAATAGTTATAGACTTTGTTTCCTCCCAGAGTACTAGTTGACTTGCAGGAGCACACATGTGCAGCAATAATCATGAAAAATAAATAAATCATCCAAGCCATATTAGTGGGACCAGTACTTTAAATATCCCAAATAAATATAGCTCATTCAAATCACCACAGAGCAAATAAAATCAGAAAGTCTTATACCCACAGGAAGGGATATTTATTACTTATTAATTCAATTTTTGATGCTGCCTGACTCGCATTGGCTAAGTGGAAGCCACAATGTTGAAAACTGTTCTTGGGGGTGGGGGAGGAGGAAAGAGGAAAGGCAACCAACACAAAATGAATCCATGAATAAATTAATAAATACAGAAGGCTGACCCTAGAATTCTAGCCTGAATAATTCCAATTCCAGAAAGGCATCTTGAGGAGATGTGACAACATAAACTCTTACCACTGAGAGACTAGCAGGCCCCTCTAACAACAGGATCTCGAGAAGCAGAGAAAAGAAGCTGGAAGAGATTTCATTTACTCCAAGACACGGCTTGATGTCTTCAAGAGGCCTTGGAAAGAAGGTAGATTTATTTTAACATAATTAAAGTACTCGGGTACCATGACCATCATAGTACTTAGATATATCATTCTGTGTTCAAAGCACTGTCACATATATTATTCCAGATATCCAAATATGAAGTGTCTCAATATTGCAGTTTGGGAGAGCTGTTCAACCTCAGAGGTTACCTAACAAATGTGTGACTGGGCCAATTATATATCAGAATATTCTTCCCCTCCTGCTTCCCTTACTGACCCAAAATTTTCTACCAGCATGCTTAGGTGCTTTTTCAGTGATGATCTGTAACTCTAAAACAAGAGAATCCCTGTGCCTTACTATAAATCATAATTTTTATTTGACAACATTGCAACTTACAACAGATTACTTGATGCATAGCATATTGAGTTTGAAACTTTGCTAGTGCAAGCAAAAAGCTTGCATGTTGTTCTGATTAATCTTAATGTGGCTAGAACTAGCTTCATTATAACTATAGTTTATCTTACATTTTGAGGAATTACATATACAATGCCATTCTCTTTGGAAACAACTTACTCTTCTTTAACAGATGGGAGAGATGGAGGATCCCACAGGGGAGGAATGGGGGAGGGACCTTGAGAAACAGGAGGAATCCCTTCAGGGTTGCCAAGAGATTCAGAGAAATCTTCAGCTTCAGATTTAATCACTTTTAACTTCTTTTTCTTTTTCTCCTCCTTTTCCTTCACCTTCTTTTTGAGGACAGCAAGGTCAAATAAAGCTTTTTTTAAAACAAGAGAGAAAAAAGATACACTTAGCTACATGGTTTTTAAAAACAGTCCTCCTGATGAAATAATATAGAAACGTAAGTATTGCTACTATCTTTTCTGCATCAAGAATTAAAAAACCCTTTACATTAATCATATACCTTTACACCAGGGTTCCTCAACCATGGCAACTTTAAGATGGGTGGATTTCACCCCCAAGAATACCCGAGTTTGTGGTGGGGAAATTCTGGGAGTTGA